GAAAGAGGCATAAATGTAATGTAGTCTTTACGCAATTTTCTTCCTCTCTTTTTTTTTTTTGTTTTTCTCTTTTTCTCTTCTTTTTAGTTGTTCACTTTCGGTTCTGTTCTCATTCTCTCTTCTTCCTTCTTTTTCTCTCTCGTTCCTTTTTTCTTTTTTTTCTAGCTGTTCGCTATACTCACGTATCTCCGCTGCCGCTTATCATCAGTACTTCTCTCTCTCTCTCTCTTCCTTTTTACACTTTTACACTTTTGTATTCGTGTTTTCATTTATTTACTCCCTAAATATCTCTATAAGCAAAAATTGGTACGCAGCATAATATATTGTTGGCACAAATTGTAACGCTTTGCTTTAATGATGCTGCTTTTCGCTTATACATATATATTTCTCTTTTTCTTATGTAAGCACTTCCGAGTGTTACATTCACGAGCATAATAAAAAAAAAAAAAATAGTAATGCAAGCAATGACGTTGTTCGACTTTTTTTCTCTTTCCTTCTTTTGTTGGCAATCATATTTTCTCTTCAAACTCAATAGAGTTTGTCGTTGAGTGTTGACGACAAACAAACACCCACACTTTATATCGTAGAAAAATATAGAAGGCAGCTACTATATAAATAGAAGAAATGATCTCTGTTTAAACGACAAACATCTATCCACCATTCTCGATTGACCAACAAACGACAATTCACAATGAATATGACAGAACAAAAATCATAACAAAATATTTCCCAATCAACAATGGATACCAATGCAAACGCAACAGGTCCATCAATTAACATGCAATCAACACGGTACATTGCTCAAAATTATTTGATCCTTTGGGTCGATGGAAACATTGATCTAGCAAATAAAGATTACCAAAATACACTCGAACAACTACAAAACATAGCCAATGAAGTCTATACCTTTACACAACGCATTGAATGTATTGACTTCCTCACTGAAGTCGATGATCAAAAGGCATTTCTCATTGTACCAGATACTATGGGCCAACAACTGGTACCCTTCATCCATGATATTCCTCAACTTCATAGCATTTACATCGATTGCAGTAGCAAAGCTTCAAAAGAAGATTGGAGCAGCCATTGGGACAAAGTTAACGGTATATACACAGAAATGCCGCTTATCTGTGAAGCATTGCAAATGGCTATCAAGCAATGCAATAAAGATGACATATCCGTAAGCATTATCAGTGTAAACGAAGAAGATTCCAGCAAAGATCTCAATCAGCTTGAACCCTCTTTCATGTACTCCCAAATATTCAAGGAAATTCTCCTCGATATGGAACATGGTGAACAAGCCAAGAAGGATTTTGTTGAATTTTGGCGAAACGAATACAGCAATAATGCAGTAAAAGCGAAGGATATCACTGAGTTCGAAAGTCAATATAGTGATCAATCAGCAATTTGGTGGTACACTCGCGAGGGTTTCCTTTACGAGATGCTCAATCGTTCTCTTCGAACGCTGGATGGCGAGACGATTATAAAAACGGGTTTTTTTCTTGCTGATCTGCATCGACAAATCGACAGTTTACACAAACAACAGATCAGTCTTTATCATGGGAAGATCTTTCAAGTTTTTCGAGAACAAGGATTATCGATAATCGACTTCGACAAACTCAAGAAGAACAAAGGTGGACTTATTTCCTTCAATAATTTTTTATCCACCTATTCAGATCGAGCTACTTCTCTTTGTTTTGCAGAATGTAATGTAGGAAAACCCGGTATGGTGGGCATCCTTTTCCAAATGTCGATAGATCCCACCATCTTATCAAGTCCATTTGCCTCTATCCGGGAAGTGAGTCGTTTTCCTGAAGAAAATGAAATCCTCTTTTCGATGGACACGGTTTTTCGAATTGGCGAAATTCGAAAACTTGACAATGAAAATTCACTCTATCAAGTAGATCTTAAACTGACGTCTGATGAAGATCAACAACTACGTCAACTCAGAGAAAGTATACTAGGAGAAGATTCACATCAGACATGTTGGGGACGATTGGGTACGTTGCTAGTAAAAATAGGGCAATATAGCAAGGCTGAGAAGTTGTATACCGCGCTACTCGAACAAACGTCCAACGACAGTAATAGAGCTGTAGTTTACAACAATCTTGCAGTGCTGAAACACCATCAAGGACTATACAAAGAAGCAGCATCATTTCACGAAAAATCCCTCGAGATGAGGCAAAAAACTCTTCCAGAAGATCATCCTTCATTAGCTACTTCCTACAACAACATCGGTCAAGTGTATAAAAACATGGGTAACTACTCGAAAGCACTTGAATATTACGAAAAAGCGCTTAAAATAAGAGAAAAAGTTCTGCCTCCGAATCATTCCGATTTGGCTACTTCCTATAACAACATCGGTATGGTGTATGGCGACATGGGTAACTACTCGAAAGCACTTGAATTTTACGGAAATGCACTTAAAATAAGAGAAAAAGCTCTTCCTCCGGTTCATCCTTCATTGGCTACTTCCTACAACAACATCGGTACGGTGTATGACAACATGAGTAACTACTCGAAGACACTTGAATTTTACGGAAAAGCACTTAGAATCTTCGAAAAAGCTCTGCCTCCAAATCATCCCGATCTGGCTACTTCCTACAACAACATTGGTTTGCTGTATGACAACATGGGTAACTACTCGAAAGCACTTGAATTTTATGAAAAAACGCTTAAAATAAGAGGAAAAGCTCTGCCTTCGAATCACCCTTCATTGGCTACTTCGTACAACAACATCGGTACGGTGTATTACAACATGGGTAACTACTCGAAAGCACTTGATTTTTACGAAGAAACACTTAAAATCGAAGAAAAAGCTCTGCCTTTGAATCATCCTTCATTGGCTACTTCCTACAACAACATCGGTGGAGTGTATGACAACGTGGGTAACTACTCGAAAGCACTTGAATTTTACGAAAAAGCACTTAAAATCTTCGAAAAAGCTCTGCCTCCGAATCATCCCGATGTGGCTACTTCCTACAATAACATTGGTACGGTGTATAAAAATATGGGTAACTATTCGAAAGCACTTGAATTTTTCGAAAAAGCACTTAAAATAAGAGAAAAAGTTCTGCCTCCGAATCATCCAGATTTGGCTACTTCCTATAACAACATCGGTGGAGTGTATGACAATATGGGTAACTTCTCGAAAGCACTTGAATTTCACGAAAAAGCACTCAAAATAAGAGAAAAAGCTCTGCTTCCGAAGCATCCTTCGTTGGCTACTTCCTATAATAACATCGGTGCAGTGTATGACAACATGAGTAACTACTCGAAAGCACTTGAATTTTACGAAAAAGCACTTAAAACCTTCGAAAAAGCTCTGCCTCCGAGTCATCCCTTATTGGCTATTTCCTACAACAACATCGGTTTGCTGTATTCCAAAATTGGTAATTACTCGAAGGCAATTTCTTTTCTGGAAAAGGCACTTACTATAGCACAAAAATCACTTCCATCTACACATCCTCATATTCAGATAATGATAGATAGCATTAATGATTTAAAAAAGACGTGAATTTGTTCTCTTTTTGTTTGCTCAATAAATTCGATTTTACTGCTAATCGTTCTATCTGGCGTTCCTTGGCTCTTTATCGCGCACTGACATGCGCCGGTAGGGTGATTCCTGACGGACCTGGTAGAATAGAAGCGAAGCGGACTGTGTCGAACTGCTGTGGCACTCTTCTTAAGTGTGACGTACACAATGGAGGATAGGAATCGTACGAGCATTGTGACTTTATGAGCACTAAACTGCCTTTACCTGTCCGGAACGAAGGATATCCCTTCTGAGAGTGCGAAGCCACCTGAAGGGCTGTGATAAAAAAGAGAAAAAGATGTTATCCTTACCAGGACATTACTATGACAAGAAGAATAAGGGGTTAACTTATTATTAAACTTCTCTACGTCCTGGGTATTAATAATTTATACTAACATGCAAACCACTTAACTTTTCAACAGCGACTAAAATCAATCTCACTAACATTCGCATCTCAACTACTCATACTCCCAAACACCCACTAATGTCTACTTTGTATGATTAATAGAAAAAATACATCCTCAACAAAGGCGATCAAATTGACCCTCGCCACACCAACACTGACAAACACTCACGATCTATCTTTTGATCCGAATATGTGTCATCTCGGAATTACCTTTCTTAATAAATTTTTTTCTGAAAACATCAGAACAGTTCCAAAAACAAAAAAAGATTCGCTTAACATTCAGCATCACCACATTAAACGCCAGCTGCATCCAACTTGTATTCATTGACGTCCACAAAAATATTCAACTAACTTGTCTCTGAATACAACTGAAATAAATCTCGTAATGTATTTATAAGAAACGTGCCTTTAAATACGAGAAAAACATCTAAAAATGAGGGAAAATGGCTAAAACAAGGAATAAAAGAGCTGACATACACAATAGCATCTGTTTGGATTTTCAAGAAAAAGTTATTTGCATCCATTTTGCATTGACAAACATCAAGAAAAAGATAGAATTCACTTCGTGTCATACAGTAAGACATACCTTCTTATGACCTTCTTCTCGAAAACACTGATATAGATCGAGTGATACATAATTAAATTATATTTACATGCGATTGAAATCTAACTTATATTCACCAATTTTGGGTGTGGGTGGGTGTGAGGTGTGGATGTGGGTCGGTGTGCGTGTGGAGGGTGTGTGGGATGTGGCTGTGGGGGTGTGGATGTGTAATTGCTAAGCATTTATGCAATACTTGTCTGCAAAATAATTGATAGACTCATGTGTTGAATGAGTTCTGTTCACATCGAACATCTCAAATTTTACTAAATATCGAAAGAAATATGTTAAAATAAAACAGAAATTTCTACCTCATCAAGACTGTGTGGACTACGGATGACTCATAAAAGAATATAAAGATGCTTTTCTCTCCACTTTCTTCTGTTCTTTGTGTCAATATTGCTCCTGAATATATGCACGTGGTAATGATTTTCAGCTCCCTTTTCGTTCTCATCGGCGAGCATGCTGTGTATTTTTTTTTCTATTGAGTCATGAAATCGTTTCAGTGATGCATTCATTTAATTCGTCTACCATGAATGATGAGGATGCACAAGATTTTATCGATTTCTTTGATATTGCACAATCCAGTGTCAATGCGACAGTATCAGTTGAAAGGAAATCTGACTACAGACCAATTTCTTTACCTTCATCAATAAGTGAAATATTGAAAACGTGGACAAGTACACCGTCTGCTGCACTAGCATCATCTCGTGTTGGAATTGCTCCTTGCGATTTCATATCATTCAATGGAATGTTTGAACATACATGGGGAGAAGGACATGTTGAACAACCTCGCCGTTTGACTTCTATTATTGATTACTTGCATAAAAACTTTTGGCTTGATCATCAATCTCGTTGGAAATGTCTTTCTGGAAGGACGATTACCGATGAAGAAATTCGACTTGTTCATTCCGACACATTCTTATCAGGTTTTTTAGCTGTTGAACGTGGAGAAATTGTCGATGATGTGATGTCAATGCGAACACTTTCATATGCTAATGCTAATTACAATTTTAAAAGCGTTGGTCCAATTATTGCTCGAGCATGTCGAATAGCAGCGGGCACAACGCTTGATTTAGTGTCGTCAATTGTACGAGGTGAAATCGATTTTGGTATAGCTTTAGTTCGTCCAGCTGGTCATCATTCCTCTACTGATCAAGTGGGAACATTTTGTGGTTTAAATTCCGTGGCAATCGCTGCCATGTATGCTATTCAAATCCTCGAAGTACCACGAGTTCTTATTTTAGATTGGGACGTACATAGGAGTGGAGGAACAGAAGAAATAATAGGACGAATATCAAACGATGATCAGCAAAAGTATCGTCTCATCGATATTTACGCTGCATTTGGGAAAAATTCAAGTTCTACTAATAGATCTTCGAACTGTTATCTTATTGATCTATCTCAGAATGATCAACTTCCTGGTGATGAAGAATACCTTGAAACATTTGATATAAAAGTATTACCAGATATTGTTCAATTTTCTGCTTCGCTAATTGTGATTTCAGCTGGTTTTGATGCTGCCAAAGACGAAGCAGAAGAATGTGCAAGATTAACACCAAATGGATTCTTTCGAATGTCTAACAAGTTGAAAAAGCTCAACATTCCTCTGGTTTTTGTGTTAGAAGGGGGTTATCGAGAACAAAGTTTAGTTCAATCAATAGGTGCAACCTTGAAAGCTCTGATGGATCTGTAATGAAAATTAATTTCAACTTTTGATAAAGTCATTATTTATGATCTTAGTGCCCACTATGCCTTCAACTGCTAAACTTGTTTTGGTTTGCAAAATTGTAGATATCATGAAAAGTGATACTTTTTAATGTAATTCTATGTTTCCTTTGCTGCAATAAACTGTGATCTGTTTTTTGCTCCTTATAGTATTACTACGAAGCGATCATGTTTCCAGAGTTTCTTCTGATTTATAAGTGACTATCGTGAATATTTGATAAAATAAAATGAAAAATATCTCCTTATCGTTATATTTTTAATTAATATTTTCAGAACTTTTGGTTACGTTTAAGTAGATATGATGTTTTATTTACAGCATCCGATACTATCTTTCTAAATCACAATCGATTTCCTTTATATTGATTAACGAATCCACACTCGTTTATTTTCAATTCGAGTTACGTCTTCGAGAAATGTACAAGGATAATGATAGAGTGTCCATTGCATTATTTCAAGATTAGTATGTGATCTTTCATGAGGCTGGCCACGTAGATAATAGACTTTCAAAGCCCCAAAAGGGTGTGGATATGGGTGTGAATGTGAGTTGATCTTCTCTCAACTCACACTCACATTCACACCGTAAGTTTTTTTTTTGGTATGTTGGCTTTGTTTTGATGGTTCTTATCAGTTTGTTGTGCACATCCACATGTTTTACAGATATGAAGAACGAGCATATGCATCATATTGCTATATTTTTGACAAAGATAATACGATGCATATATTGGTAGTTTTGTTTTTTGTCGCTATTTCTTTGGTATATATTTATTTAAAACGACGTTATTATACCGATCCTAATGATGGTATTCCAGGATTGCCACCGGAATTGCTATTTGGTCATTCACGATCGACCGGACTTTTATCAGGAGAAGCTATATGCGTTATTTTCAATCGATTACAACGACGCTTCGGTGATGTTTTCACATATTGGTGGGGTTCCAAACGAAGTATTGTTCTAAATCGAGTTGAACATGTTCAATATGTGTTATCTAATCGACATATATATGAACAAGGTTCAATTGTAGCCGATGGATTTGGATTGATTGCTCCGTCCGGTTTGATTTCTTTACAAGGTCAAGCATGAAAACGTCATGCACGATTTATTTTACCGATGTTTAAACGAGCTAAAATAACTCATTTTATCGATACAATTACACGATGTACAGATGAATTCATTCATAGTGGTCAACTTATCGACAATTGTGTAAATAAAAAATTCACCGAACAATTCAATCGACTTTTTCTCAAGATTTTCGAAGCGATTGCCTTCGATTATGATCCAAGTGCGGACACATCAGCATCATCATCATCATCGCTCTCATCAGCTTTAGCCGATTTCATGCAAGAGAGCGCTAGAGCAATGCTTGCTGCAGGTTTGCCGCGGTTTTTACAACATTTATTTCTTCGTCTGAATCGAAAATATCAACAAGCTCGGGCCATTGTTCATTATCATGTATTGGCAATCATCAATCAAGAACTTTCTCGAATCGAACCAATGGATCGAAAGCCAAATACGTTGATTGAGTCTCTGGTTAGCTCATTAAGAGATGATGGATTAACTAAAGAGGAATTATTCGACGAAGTTGTGTTGTTCATTGTGGCTGGAACAGAAACATCATCATCAGCTCTCGCTTGGTTTGTATATTTTGCATCAAAAAATCCTTCAGTACAAGAACAGATTAAAATGGAATTACGACAACATAATGTCACTGTCAATACACCATTGACCGGTGAATTGCTTGACAAACTGGTTTATGTAGAATGTGTGATCAAAGAAGTGCTGCGACATGCGCCCATTGCTGCCGGTATAGCCCGCAATATACTTCAAGATGATGAAATCGGAAAAGGAATTCATGTATGTAGAAAGTTTTCACATTTGTCTTTCATGGTAGCTTTTCTTCGTTATAGGGATGCACTGAGATACTAAAGAGTGCTTCGGTTTGTCCAGTTGTGTAAATCACTATATCTAAAATGAAAAGTCTTTTCGAATTTCGAGAGCTCTCCTCAGAAGAATAAGATAAATCTTTATGAAATACTTCTGCATGCCTAGTTTTTTTGCACGCATTATCTAGGTCGATGATATCCCTGCTATTCGCGTTCGCGCTGGTGATATGATTTATATCATGATAACCAATCTTCATCATGATCCTCGCTATTGGAATCTTGATCCTCAACAATTTCTACTCGAACGTTTTCTCGGCGAAGATTGTCATCACCATCCATATGCTTTCCTTCCTGTAAGTTAATCGATCGAGAATGTTTCTTTGAATACTTCGACTTCTAGTTTGGTGGTGGACACCGTGCATGTGCTGGGCGTGAATTGGCTTTCTTCGAACTGAAAACAATCATTACTCGACTTATGCAATTTCTGACATTTATTGATTGTAATCAAAATACAGGTGGTTATCAACAGAAAACTATATGTTTTCCAAAAAATTTGGCCGTCATCGTTCGATTCGATAATGAAATTGCAATAAAGGACTAGATACAACTATGGACATTGACAATTGAAGAAATTAGTCTATAGTACACCTACTCACTTTCGAAAAAACTATTCAAGCATATTTTGTCTCTTCAATTCTTTTTTCTCATGACACAAGTGAATAAATACGAAAAATCGAAATGTCAAAACTTTTCACTAGTGAGTAATCATATTCGATAAGGATAATGGTTAAAACAATTGAGTTCGAAAGCACCACTGATAATAATACAGTGAAACCTCCCTATATGGGTACTTGGCGGACTAACCAATCGATTTTTCCTGGAAATGAATCTCTATAACACGAGTATTTCCCGCCTCTGACAATGGGCATCAATTTTAGTCTGTTCTGTACAGTCGACCTCTCTTAAATGGGCACATATAGTCAATGTTGAATCAGTATAATGTTCTTTTTCCTCTCATCGCACTTTATTGTTCTGTGATTAGGAGAGCAAAAAAAGACTCGCTCGACGCAGCAAAGAAAATGATCTGGGTGTGGGTGTGTTTTCTGTTTACCAGCGCCCACATTCAAAGTTCACTGTACTTTCGCCAATTGGCGAAACTCTAGGGGGTATATTGGCGAATGTACAGTGGACTTTCGTCAGCTGTCACGAAACAATTTAACATATGATACATGTTAGGACTGAAGTTAATATTAGTAGAATAGATATATTATAGCTTACACTCATCCATGTAGAAGATTTGAACTTTTTAAATCTGCGTCTGATTCAGAGTCAAATTGGCGAAAGTCTTATCGACGAAATTTGGAATTCCCCACCCATAGAACGAAGACATGATGGAGATAAAGCACAAGAACAATCCGAATATTCTCTTATTCTTTTTGTTACTTGTCTGTCATTCGAGTAGATTTCCATGAGTAATTGATCGAAAAAGTTTCAATAGTTAATAAAAATCTCTCGATAGTTCGAGATTTCCAACTGTCAATAAATCAGTTGACTTTAGATTCAAAAAGAATATTTGAGAAATAAGTTTTTGAAGAAATGTTTCAAGACTAATATGAAGTGTTTGTCGAGTTTGCTCACAAAACATTGACAATAACTTAAAGCAAGATCGATCAGAAAATCAATAGTCATATACATATATAATAAACAATATCCTTGTAATCAATATTATTAATGATATAATCCACCCATTGCTGTGAAACATGATCATTTAAACATACTTGATGAAAAGAAGGTTTTAAAGTAATAAAAGTCGAATAATTCATAGGGATTGATGAACATGAACAATAAAGATTTGAAGAATAAATTTCTTCCAGTTTTTTATATTCAAATTCAGATAGTTTAACAATTGTTTTTTAATGAATATCTTTAATTAATAATGCGTAGAAACTTAATATAATAAGAGAAATAAGAAGAACAATAATATAAAATTGAGTAGCAATGCGTTGATATGTATTTAATTTGTTGTTGACTACTTCCATCATTTTTAAACTTAATTCAACCAAAAAATTTTTTTTTAAAAAGTCCTTTTATTTTTATTTTTATTGAAAATTAAAAACAGAAACAAACTACAATTCTTCAACTGTAAATATTTTAACAATCTTAGTTATATGTATTAGAATTTAATACTTGATTTATATTAGATTTTAGTTCAATAAATTCGAATTTAATAAAATAAAACCTTCAAATCATATTTTATTAATTTATGAAAAACAAAAGAATAAGTCTTATCATTAGAATTTATCTACATATATAAAAACATTTAATTTAAAAATCTAAAGATTTGAAATTCAATAGAAGATTTCGATATCTTGTGAAGAATATTACCAATGAATATGAAATTAATCATATAAAAATAATTTTATATAAAATAAAATTCACTTCATAGAATGTGTGTTGAATTGTGAACATAGCTGCCCAAAAAAGTTCGACCTAATTCAGCCTTCATCTTCGATTACTTTTCACAAGTTTATTTTATAATTCATCACAACTCATTTTTTCCATGAGGATCTGAGTATGATGAGTGTTAAAGACGGAGTCGAATCGAATTCTACTGGCTCGTTTTCAGTTTTTATTACAGAATGATATACTGTCGTCAATTAGGTGAGCGTACCAGTATCAGCGCCAAGGAAGACTGAGCCTCTTCTCAGGAATTTTGCAACAAACTATTTTTCTAAGTTCCAGAGATTTTTATCCAGTTCTTCATTGATTGTTTACTGCAACCATATCAAAAACCATTTTCTCTCTTCTTGCAGTTAAATCACAATCTCTAGCAATGCATCTTGGCAAATGTGGAACTACGGAGTGGTTTTAACCTTTCTTCTAACAAAAAACTATGTAATGACGAATTAAAAACAAAATTGAACGTTATTATTTCATCTTCTTTATTACCATCTGAATTTCAAAACTTTTCTTCTCCTTTTTCGGTTTTCTCATGATCAAACTGCATATGATCTTGTTTGTGATACTTCATCAACTTCTCTCACAATTTCTATTTCTCTGAATGAAAATTTTGAAACAAAAGTTATTCCAAATGATATCAGTAAATCATATAATGCTTCTCATATTCAACTAAAATTAATAACTTAGCCAATAAATTATCTAAAAAGTTAAGGGTCAGCAATGTTTTATTTTTTTCACTTCAAGATTTAATAATTGAAAGAAAACATTGCACAAAAATAGTGATTTGATAAAACATGCATAGTTGAAACACTAATTATTTATTATATAAACAACGAGAAGAAATTAATTCAAATGCAATTAACGAAACTTGTTAGCGCAGCTCGCCTTTTGGGCCTGAAATGTGACACTCACATATACCTTTTAGTCTTATTAAACTAATACAAAAATGGGTGAAGTAAAAAATTCTTTCTAGACTTTTTTTTCATTCGTTTTTCTTAATTTAACATACTTATTATTATATAATCATTGAATTAATTGACAAATAAGTTCGTTTTACATATCCATGATATCTAGAGCAGATCTTAGATCACTATTATATATATAT